TGAAGAAATATGATCTTATTCAAGACCTGATGATAAACTGTTGCATCTAAAGCATTTCTTAGACTGAAATTTCGAACAATTTAATCTGAAAATGAATTGCAAAATCGAAATATTTTGCTTCAAGGATCCCACTGATAGTTAATTGCATAGTGGCAGTAATGTAGCACAGATTGAGAAACTTAGTCCCAAACTACTTACAATTGATTTTTCTTGAGTTTAAGCCACTGATAAATTTATCACTGTAAAAAAGAACATTTGGTTGGATATGACAATGATAAATTTATCAACCACTGACATAAATATAATAAACCATCAACTCTTTCCATACAGTTAGTTATAAATTTATCATTCTTAAAAATAACAAAATTCAACAACCCCATTAATGCTTGATTGTTTCCTTCAGACAATGGTAAATTTATCACTCTTAAAAAACATAATCCACCAACGCATTCAAACCAACCAGGGATAAATTTACCACTGTATAAAATACCAAAAACATCAACTACATTTAACCAAAATCAAATAATATAAATCTGTGAAACTTAATCTTGTAAAAATATCAACAAAAAATATAATTTCCATTCAAAAAATTCATCAATCATCCAATGCAACTACCGAAATGATGTATCTTGCAAAAAATACTCAAACATTCAATGCAAGTAACACCTCTCAACTCTCAACAAAAGTAATTCAATTAAAATCAATACAACTAAAGCAAGCTTCTTTACATGTCTTTCGACTATGAGTTCCTATCTTTCCACATCTACTGCACCTAATTCTCTTGATTCGCCCTTCAAAGGTATTCTCTCTGTTCTTGGACGTCCAACTAGTTTCTTACAAAGAAGAGGTAAAACAACGTCATCATCAAAAACTACATTTGGCTTCCATATACTAGGAACTGGATAGATAGAATGCGAATAAGAATCACAATAACTACGAACATGGTAGTAATCATCAAGAAAACAATTCAGATCCTTCCCACTCCTCTTTATAGCATAAAAACCATGTTTGCAAGGAAAAGAATCAATTTCCAACAATCGACAAGAACAAGACTGTTTCCCATTATTAACCATAACTGAATGATCCAATTGGATTTCATGAATATCATCACTACATTTCTTAACTATCCATGCCTTTGTATCATTAAAAACTTCTTCCAACTTTTTCTCTGCAAAATGACAAACAATACGATTCCACTTATTTCCAAGTTTTCATCTTTTTGAAAATTGCTCCATTAGTTTCACCCGTATAGCATCAACAAGATTAGTTGAAAACAAATGGTGCTTATCCCTAATCCATGAATTAAAAGATTCTGCAGCATTTGTGCACATTTCACCATACCTCTTGCCTTGAAAATAAGCGTTACACTAACACTCATTAGGCAAATCCTCAAGAAACTTCTAAACATTACGACCACAATGACCCTTAAATTCTTCAAATAGCTCATTAAACAACTCAATAGTAGGAGCATATGCACGTCTACTAAAAGGAGTGAGCAAATACTTTTTAGATTCGTGACTTTTCACTGACAAATAAGTCTTCAAGTTTGTTTTCAAATGCATTGGACAAAAAGAATGAGAAGAAAACGAAAAGACCTTAGCTAAAACTTTCAGCAAACCTCCATGTCGATCAGTAACAAACGTAATATCCCTTCTCGGAGTCAAAATAACAAATAACAAACAATTTTGACAAAAACCAATGCCAATTGTCATAACGTTCACTATCAACAATGGCAAAACATAATGGATATAAACCTACAAACAAGATATATACACATTATTTGTAACAAATAAAAAAGATTACAAAACAAAAGCATAACGCAAAGTATATAACATATAGCACCAACCATGGATAACTTTATCACTGTATTACTACAACAATTCAATAAAAACATACAACATATAGAATCAATGCATAATAAATTTATCACTGTATAAATATAAAAATGTAACAAAAGTATACAACATACAAAAGTATACAACATAAATTTATCACTAATTGATTGACCATACTCAATAATCAACACTCTCCAGTAACAAAAATGATAAAATTATCATTGTTTTAATAATAATAACAAATAGACACAAAATATACCTCGGTTACTGTCTTTTTCCGTAGCAGCCAATAAACAACCTTTGTGTCTTTCTTTCAAGAAAGTTTCATCAAGTATCAACACAGGCCGACAATACTTGAAACCATGAATACATGCCTCAAAAGCGAAAAACAAGCATTTGAAATGTCTTCCTTTGCTATCAATATCAAATTCCATATCAAAAACACTCCCCAAATTACAATCATTAGCGGTATCAACATACCAACGAAGATCGTCAAATGAAAATGAATAGTCACCAAAAACAACATCCCTTGTTTTTTCAACACCCATCCAAGCTCGCCGGTAAGAAACTTCTGTTCCATAATAGTCCTTGAAATCACAAACCACCTTACTAACCGATGTCAAAGTCTTATTACGAACCTCACTTGAAATTAGCCCACCAATCATACTTGAAGTCATCCTAGTATGTTTAATTGTATGAAAAGAAGATCCACATGTATGAACATCATCAAATTGTTTAATAACAAAAGCTTTACTAGAATTTTCCACTCTAGCATGTACGCTCCATAAACATCCCAAATCAGCCATTCTCTTACAACGAATAGTGACACGATCCTTGTCATTCTTAACAAAATCAAAATCAAAACCGGAATGAATAGAATACTTTGACAACGCATCTCGAAATTCAACAACTCCTTGAGCAAACCTTTGACCCACTCATTTTATACAATTAACCCACCTATCGGAGAGTAAAGGTTTCCGTTGATTTGAATAAAATGAAGGCAAAAAATCAGTTTCACAAACAACACTACTACTACTACCAGCTTCACCATCACAAATCATATAACCTTCACCCAAAGAACAACACTTAACAAAAACATCAATACGATGAATATCACAAGAAAGTGCGAGTCCAACCATAACCTCCAAATCCTCTTCACTTTGTAGACCATAATAAAAATGTACGGGCATTGAATACGACATATTCAAAGAACTACCAATTAACTCACTCCACTTTGCACACAATTTATATACTAAATCCTTGAAATTAAATCCATCATTATACTTGATAACCAATGTCACACCTCTAAATTTGTGCATAAGAAACAAAAAATTTTTCATCACTATAAATCTTGCAACAAACAACAATTATATTTTAGCAAACAACTCAAACAACCTAAAGCAAAATCTAATACAGTGATAGAATTATCAACCAACTCAAACACATCCAAAAGCCAACAGTGATAAATTTAACAATTAACACTACCTAAGACCAAGAGCATGAACAGTGAATAAGGCTTACACTTATTGGGCATGGTAACTCGATTTGAATCTTACCATTATATTATGCAACTTTTTCATCTCCTATTCCTATACTCGCTGATAAATTTATCAATGTTGAAAAAGTTAATCCATCAATACCCCCAAACTACTTAGTGATAAAATTATCACTGTAGAAAATCACAAACCAACATCTGTGTTCAACCAAAACAATTTCGTAACAAAAAAAAAAAAAATCTAACATTCATTACATGTACATATCTCAAAGCTTTCAATATCATGATAAAAATACAAATTCAATCGCAGAAACAACAGAATAACAACAATATCATAAACAAAATCAAAATCACAAACTCAAACTAAAAAACACCAAAACATCGAAATTGAAATTAAAATTAAACATACCAATTGAGCTCTATCCACAAAATCACAAATCACAAAATCTAACTATACACCAAATGCGAAATCACAAAACACGAAGATTCATAGATTTATAAAAAGCAAATCACAAATCGAGTTCCCTCCATGAGATCGCAAATCGCAAAATCCAAATATATACCAAGTGCGAAATCACAAATCACGAAGCTCCACAATAATGCATTAACAAATCGCGAAATTCCATAGAAATCCAAATCACAAACCCAAACTCAAACTCACATTACAGTATTTTGATGGCAAAAATCAAATAGAAATGTGCCAAAACAGGGAAAAACAAAACAAGGGTAAAACAGGTACAAAAAAAAGACTCCAGGACATATTGGTGCACAATATCAATATTCAGGACTAAGAAGGGAATAACTATAAAAAGTAGGCCCGAACTTGGCCCGACCTGAGATTTATCCACCCCAAGAGGCCATCTGATTCAACCCGATTCACCAACACTCCAAGAAAATAAAATTATGCTTTTATGTTTTGTGTATTAAAAATGAAACATTTTATTTAGTAAGTATATTTACTATTTATGAAATATGAAAATTTGGTCATTATTTGTATTAAAAAAAAAATGAACCGCAAAAAATTCTGAGTACAAAATAATAAAGATTTATTGAAAAATAGTTCAAAATAATCTCAACACAATAAATCTCAAACTATCAAATCAATCTACATTCACCTATTAATCCATTCGGTCTAAAGAATCTGTATTCATTAACTAAATAGACAAATAGACATATACAAATTTATTTTTTTCATTTCACCTAAGTTCATATGTATGATAGAGGTATAAATTTGGTACAGCCCGAGCTCCTGCCAAAATTTGGACGGGTCTACGAGTCAAGAAATTAGGCTTATGTCCAAGTCCAAGTCTAGAGAGTACTCGGGCCTTGAGTGTGTTGGTAGGCCGAGTCAACAGGTTTGGGCTCAAGCTTGGAGTAGGCCTGATCATTTAAAAAAATTTTAATCAAAAAATTTTTTTTTTTTTACTAGAAAATGACGCTAGACCTCAGTCGAGTCAAGCCTTGAGTGAGTCTAACCTGATGCGCCACGTCGGGCTTCAGGATAGGCGTAGCAGGCTGGACTTACAGACCAGACTGAACTTCGAAACAGGTGACCCAGGCTTGAACAGGCCTACCCGGGCCGAGTTGCGCCGGACTACAAGCGAGTTTCGGATAAACCGCCAGCGAGCCAAATTTACCCCCAACGTGTGACTGATGAGTGTTCACCCAAGCCAATCTAATCTGCAGCTGCACCAAAGTTTTTAAGAACATACCACACGGCTACAACTTATCATTTTAAAACAAAAAAAAAAAATATCATCGGATAGAGAACAGGGGAAGAGAGAGCGCGAATGGTTCATCTAATGAAACCTGTAATGCTGCGATGGCTTCGGTGGCAGCACCGTTGCTACTCCCGCACAACACTCCACCATTATCTCTTCCACTCACCCTCCTCAACACTCTACACCCTCACTACCTCCCTACAACCACCTCTCATCTCCACCGTAGTCCCTTCCTTTCATCGTACCCTCCATTTCCGATCACAAGGCCTCAAATCACCCTACGCTTTGGATTCCAGATACAGCAACATCGACGACTCGGATGATCCCAATGCAAGGAAGAGCCGCAACGAGAAGAAGCGCGAGGCTCGGCGCGCCGTCGGATGGGGAATGGAGCTCGCCGCTTTCTCTACTCCTCAAATCAAACGTATTCTCAGGTATTTCCCAAAATGTCCTCATCTAGTTCATCAAATTACCTATTTATAGATACAGAATCGCCGTATTGTTTGTTCGTTGAAATTCTAGTTTTGTGTGAATTTTGATTGCAGAGTCGCTTCTCTTGAACCCGAGGTCTTCGATGCTATCATGCTAGTGAAGGTGATGATACTTACAATTAGTGTTATTTTGTACATTTGTTTTGATTAGAATAATGATTGGTTGAATCTTGTTTTTGTTTTTGTTTTTGTTTTGGTTTTGGTTTTGGTTTTTGGTTTTGGTTTTGGTTTTGGTCGATGCAGTTTTTTGAATACTAGGTGTTTGTTTTTTTGCCTCAGAGATTAGGCCGTGATGTTCGAGAAGGAAAGCGAAGGCAGTTCAATTATATAGGTATGCAAAACTTAAGATGGTAGTAAAGAGTTGCATTGCTTTCGAATTAGACGTCTTTTTTTTTATGTTGCGAGGTTTATGCAAATTAGCTTTCATCCATGGAGTCTGGTAACTTTAATTGACATAAATTATAAACTTTGGAAAAGAGAGAATATTTATTTTAGTTGGATTTGTGCGAGGCATACCGTAGGCAAGGTTTGATTTCTTCAACTTGGAGAATATGCTCAAGTATGATGGTCATTTCGTTTGACCTCTTGCCTATAATTTATGGCTTACTTCATGTGCCCACGAGTGTCCTCTAACTGCATACAGTAGCATTACCTGTACACCTGTCAAAAAGAAAGAAAACTGTGTTTAAAAATGTAAGTGAAATTAGATGAAGGAAGGAGAAAGACAATTTGCTATTGTAAGTTCGTTGACAATATCTTAATTTTTCAAATGGCAATGCCTGCTGCTAGTCTTGATGGCCTGTTTAAATTGTCACTGGGTGTGCAGCTTCTATTCATTCGGTGGCATGCGATGTAACTTTTAATTTCATGCCAGATTAGTCAAAACACTGTTTTTCTGTATTCTGTCTAAAATGAAATTATGTAGGTTGAAAACTTGTATCTTTTAAACTAATGTTCATTGTGCATATCTTTTAGGTTACTATTCTTTTTCTTTTTGTTTTTGATTTGTAAGTGCATATCTTGCGTGATTCTTAACCCTGCAGTATTGAGTTCTTTCTCAACAATCTTCATGATAAATTTCATGGTATAATTTACATACCTGACAATTTCACATGTTTGTGGTCTGTGTTACATGGACTCCCAATGTACCTCTGTGCACCAGATATGAAAAGGATAAGGGTGTGAGATATGTGTTGACACTTCAGACATTTAAATTCTCCAATTTTATATGATATTTGAAAATGTTTGCATTTGCTACTAATCATTTCTAGCTTTTACACAAATGAATTTCATATTTTTTGTATTTTTTTTTTTTCCATATCCAATTTTTTATATATATCCCACTATCCTAAGATCTAGATTTAGATTTAGAATGATTTGATGCTTGGACATGTACCTGCATCCGATACCCGAGTCCATGTAATATAGCCTACGGTATTAATTTAGCACTTCAAATTCTTCTTAGGAAGATTGCTAAGGGACGCAGAGCCTGAATTGATGGATGGTCTTATTCAGGCTACAAAAGATGGTGACCAGAATAAGTTTCAGGCTTTATCTGGTTCAGAAATGTGGGACATTGAAGATGATGATGATGAGGTAGAAGAAACCGAATATGAAGATGAAGAGGAGGTATGTTATGATATGTTTCTTTGTGGTTTGAATAAAATTGGGGATTTTGGATTGATCAGTGGTGGTAATAAAAATAATTAAAAATATCGAGTGATAATGAAGGTGATTAATAGTGATAATAATTGACATCATCAAGTCTGACTCCGAAAAGAATCGGTGATGATGGTGGCATTATTAGAAAAATTCAACAATGATGATCGGAAATGTGATTGGCACATGCCTATCTTAAGTCCATCCCATGAAAATGTATCTTTTGTTTTGCATGTTTACTTCTAGTTTCCATTTTATTTTCTTCTCAAAACTTGATATTTGTTATTTTGAAAGTTCTAAACCTGAGAGTTAATTGTTGGTACTCTGAAGGAAGGCCTCTTTATTTTATTAGAACTCATAAGTGTGATTTTGATAAGTTTAAGTATTTAAGTTATTATTTCTGTAAGGTGAGATCTCAAGTTTCACAAAATGAAGTATGACCAACAAAAATGTGTTCACAAAATGAAGTATTTTAGTTTATTATTTCTGGCAATATTTTAAGGTTTGTGGAAGGTTAGGCTTCAACTTGGGGTTTATAAATGCTTTTCTTCCAGTGTTATCTATAAAAGAACGTAAACATATTCTGATTGTGCATCTCAGTATTTAATGTCGATATGCTTTTAGGTAAAGAATAATAATTATTTTAGGTAATCTATTAGCTATATATACACATATATATTCTTGTGAGCAAAACAAGGTTTTAAAAATCGGATCTGTGAGTGAACCGGAAAAGGAATCAAGTGGATGGGTCACTACTTCAAGAGTAGTGCTAGAGACCCCAAAAGTTTTACCTAAATTTCTACCAAATGTCTTATATGGGTGTGGGACCCACATTCTAACATTATTGCTACTTCAATCATTGGGTCAAACCAGATTGAACTGTAATATAATAATTACCTAATAAATATATTAAAAATTATGCTTAAATAAGAAATATGTATTAAATATGCATTATATGTTTTATACTTTTGTATTTATATTGATATTATTTGTAAAAATGTTAATTATACTAATATATGACAGAAAGTAATTGGAATATAATAAATAAAATATATCTACTAATTTATCAAGAATGAGTAATGCTGGCATAGTGGTAAGAAACAACAATTTTATGCTTGAGATGCTGAGTTTGAATATTGCGAACAATCTTTTCTAACACTTGACTGCTTAAGTGGTCAAGCCCAGCCTGTTCACTCCAACTAGCACCGGTTCAATAAAAAAGGGCCTGTTTTTGAACTACAACAGGTTCGAGGATATATCCGGACCGGACTTAGATTGGTTGATAGCTCAACCGGTTGAACCGGCCGGTCCAGTCCGGTCTAGTCTGGTTTTAAAACATTGGGCAAGAGGTTAAGTTGATATGTAATATTCTTTAATGCATAATAAGACAATGTATCCATGCATTCTGCAATTATTAATTCATTGTATACTCTTTTGCCTTTACTTTAATTATCCAACTAGTGCTTATTGGCAGCAAAACAGTCTACAGCTTCATAAGAATATCGTAACCTAGTCTGGAATGTTTATGCAGTTTTGCTAGTAACACTACCATTTGCACTCCCCATTACCCACCCATGTGAGTGTAAATGGAATTTTTAGCAACTTTTCTCATGTTTATGAAAGGTCTCACTTTGAAGATTATTTGCAGGGGTCCCATAATTACATTAATATGGCAACCAGATGGTCTGATGGGCTGATAAATAAGGATGCCGACATTACCAAGGAAATTTATTCGGTTCAAGATGTTGATTTTGACCGTCAGGTGAGTTGGGTCATATCACATGCTATTTTATTTTCATTATTATCTCTCTCTTTTTGTTGCACACAACAAACAAATGCATGTGCTTACTCATGCATGGGTGGTTCTCTAGAGAAAGTGTAATGCATAGTATAATATATTCTTTCTTCTTTTTTTTTTTAGTTGTTAAGTTCTGCTTGCTGATTGCTAATATGCAAAGTTTCCACACTATATATGTGCATATACTAGAAGGTGTGCACACCCACATGGGTGCACTTGAAATTTGCAGTTACAAAAAAGCACATGGGTGTATTTGAATTTGGTAGTTACAGAAGAAGGAAGAAGGGCAGTTTAGGAATTAAAAAAAAACTATGACGTCAGTGGTGGAACAAGAAAAATTGTTCAGATAGGGCACTTATTAATTACAACTTCAAATTTTTTTTCTCATAATCAATAACAATAGATAATAATTTTTTTGATTAATAGTAAGCACAAAATCTTAAAAATTTAATCTAAAAGTTTTAAATTTAATTTTTTTTTTTTTTAAATTTTTTGCCATTAACCTTGTGAAATATGATAATTGAAAATATGATATTATTTGTAACTAGTATATGATAGGTAATGTAAAAGAATCTTGTATGTCTTATGATAGATTATATAATAATATACAAATAATAGTGATACTACATCATTATCGATATATGGTATCACTAACCAGTACTAAAATGTGCTTCATAGCTTATAATCAATAAAAATAGATAATAATTTTTTTGATTAATAGTAAGCACAAAATCTTAAAAATTTAATCTAAAAGTTTTAAATTTAATTTTTTTTTTTTAAATTTTTTGCCATTAACCTTGTGAAATATGATAATTGAAAATATGATATTATTTGTAACTAGTATATGATAGGTAATGTAAAAGAATCTTGTATGTCTTATGATAGATTATATAATAATATACAAATAATAGTGATACTACATCATTATCGATATATGGTATCACTAACCAGTACTAAAATAACACATGGAGGGTTAATTCAACTTGCCAAATATAATTAACAATTCAATAATTTCACATTTTCCTAGTGGGGTTAACTATGTTTAATTGTAAGTGATGATGTGGTATCACTGTTGCACTGAATTTTTTTTATAAAATATTTGAATATAATAATGTGGCTTGTTGTAATTTCTTCATTTTCAATCAAAACAACCACCATTATTTTCGTAATTTGAAAAATGCCATTAAGAAATCATTCTAAATGTTATTTCTCCACAAATTTTCTATTTGTTAATTATTTTCCTTATATACAAAATATACATATACACAAAATTGAGGGGGGACACGTGCCCCCCGGTCCCTTCATACATCCGCCACTGTGATGTTCATACCAACTCAAGTGTTTGTATTAAATAATATAAAACATACATATATGATTATTGTAAAGGATATCCTTTGGAATTACTTGGTTTTGTCAATATTGTTACAGATATTATCAGGGACTCAGAGGTTTTGTAAATATTGCAAACTTCTGAGCTCTCTAACTCTAACCACTAACTCCAGTTACATATGCTAGGTAGTTTGTTAGTTTTAATCCTATGTAGTTAACCGCCATGTTTTCTGAACAATGATCTTGCTATGCTTTTTACCGCAACAAAACATGTCAATAAAGCATATAATCCAACGGCTTGAGTTTAAAATTGAAATAAAATGACATGCAATTATTATATATATATATATATATATTTAAAGAGAAAATTGGTGGAAAGTCCATCCCAAAGGGGGTATAAGACATTAGATCCAAGGAAAAATTTTGTTTGGTGATAAGGACACGCCGGAAAAGTTGCTGGTGGCTGGCAGCAACAGGTGGCGGTGGTGAGGTAGAAAATGTGTGATATTCAACAGATAGGTTGTTGAATGAGTGACGTGTCACATTTCAACATATAGTTAGTTTGATGAATTTCAACAGACAGACAGGTTGATTTCAACAGATTTTTGAACAAATTGTATCATTTTGGCCCAATGAGATTAGAGTTTCGGCACAATGGCCCAAAAAATTCAGAAATGGACTTGTGACTTGAAGCTCCTTTTTAATGTAGCCCGTTTAGGATTACCACAGCAAAACTGTTGCAAAGAGATCCATGGTAGAGGATCCTGATCCTTACTCATTGGGTCCATGCTCAGCAGCTTTCTTGTTCTTGGGCTTGGTTTTACGGGTTAGCCCATCTTATGACCTGAGCCTCATTGAAGCTGGATATTTGGCTGCAATATGCTGCTTCACTTTTGACTAAACAGTAGACTTGTACTATTCTATTCTGTATTTACCATGATGTACTTATCTTGTATTAAGTCAATACGTCTATTTGACAAATTAAGTTCAAATGCATTTGTCACCCAGCTACTTGGCTTCTGTGAAAACTAAGTTCATCCTGGTGATATGCCTTTATGAATATATGGCACATTAGCGTGTTAAATGATTTCTTCTGTTTATTGTATTACAACTTGCCTTGTTTGATTGATCAGTGTAGGATTATTAAGAAGGTTATTTTTTTCTGTCAATTTGTGATTTTTGTGAGCAGTTGATACTTGGTAGTTATAAATCTTGGGCACAGAATCTTACTTGATAGCTGAATTCATGCCTGGAGTATTCAAAGATGGTCTCTTGTTTGTGCTTCATTTTCTTTAGAAAAATTTAACTAGTCTGATATTGAAATCAAGCCGGGAACATCTATTGACTTCATCCCTGATTATCACACTAAAAATTTTGTTTTATACAAGTTATTTACTGGATGACTTCTACCCTTTTTAAAATTGAATCGCATACACATGCTTCCTCTCTTGTCTGTGATATTTTGCACCATATACAGGAATTGCGGAGACTTGTGAGGGAAGTGCACTCTATGCAAGAGCGCCAAGTCACTTCAGAGGAGAATGAGGGGGAAGCAGATGCAGCATTAAATGGTGCCGAAAGGTCCCTTGCACGTTTTCTTCGAACCCTTGCAAAACAGCTACAAACCAAGTAGAATTTCATTATTGGCCTATCGACATTTTGTCCTTGTTCATTAGTTCCCCATAGAGCTATTGTGGCATTCTCAGTGAGTTGGGGAAGTGAATGCCTAAACCACCAAATTCCCCAATTCTTCTTCAAAATATTGCCAGCTCCACCACGCCACTGCCTTTAGCCAGACGAGTTATCTTTGTTGGAGGTGCTGTTGTAGATGAGTCGATGATTATTTTTGCAAAGAAGGCCTATAGTTGAAGTGGTCCACATGAGAGAGAGAGAGAGAGAGAGAGAGAGAGAGAGGCTCTTGAGTCTTGATTCTTTTTATCTATTTGACTTATGGATTGGCATAGCTGGTTCACTTGTACCTGAGTTAGTCCTTTGCATTCAATTTTGTACCCTCATAATTTTGGCTAACAAGTCTGGGAAAGGAGCCCCTAGCAATATCATGAAGATGCATATTTGTTTAGTTGGCAAGTGAAATTTATGAGTGATACCCTCTACTACGATGGATCTACTATTTTGTTTGATATCGTGGCATAAATCTAAGCAAAAATGATGGAAATTACCACCAAAAAAAAAAAAAAAACAAAAGAAAAATGTTACAGTTTGATTTGTTAAACATTTAAGGTTTAAATTGAAATAATTAAAAAAAATTGGAGTTTGATTTGTTACTAAGGCCTTGTTTGGCATGATCTAAAAAAGTTAAAAAGTTAAAAAGCCACTATCCTATTTAAGTCACATCATCTTATTTAAGTCACATCACATCTCTAACACATCAATTCAAACCCAACCCATACCCAACTCATATTTCATAAAAAGTCAAAAAGTGTACTTATTTAGATCATTCCAAACCACCCTAAAGTTCAAATTGGTTTTTCTTTGTAATAATAATAATAATAATAATAATAATAATAATAAGGGTACTCAGTTTAAAAGTCTAATTTTGAATTTTCTTTGGTAAAAAATTCACACTCTAAATTATCTATTTGATTTATGGATTGGCATAGCTGGTTCACTTGTACCTGGGTTAGTCCTTTGCATGCAATTTTGTACCCTAATAATTGTGGCTAACAAGTCTGGGAAAGGAGCTCCTAGCAATATCAAGAAGATGCATATTTATTTAGTTGGCAAGTGAAATTCATGAGAGATACCCCCTAAACCGATGGATCTACTATTATGTTTGATATCGTGGCACGATTCTAAGCAAAAATAATGGAAATTACCAACAACAAAAAATAATAATAATAATAATCAGCTTGTTTTGTTCCATTTTTCTAAAAACACTTTTCAAAAAATTCTATTTTCTTATTTTTCATGTTGTTTTGTTTTTACTAAATTTTTTTAATATTTTAAGCAATTTTTTTTTTAACTTTTTAAACATACCTAACATAAATACACCTAAAAAGTAAAAAAATTGTAAATTTTTTTTTAAAAAAATTCACTAAATACCAAAAATATAAAAAAATACAAGAATTCAATACATTTTTTTGTATTTCTATGTATTTATTAGTTTTTTAAAATATTTTTTTCACAAATTTTTTACTTTTTAGATACATCTAAGTAAGGTGCATCTTAAAAAGTAAAAAAAATGTTTAAAATTTTCAAAATATTCACTAAAAGCAAAAAAATACAAAAACTAAAAAATTCAATTTTCAAAAAACTTAACCCAAAAAACTCAAACCAAACACACTGAATAATAATAATAATAAAAAGTTACAGTTTGATTTGTTAAATATTTAGGGTTTAAATTGAAATAATTAAAAAAATTAGAGTTTGATTTGTTACTAAGGTCAAATTGATTTTTCTTTTTTATAAAAATAATAAAGGTGCTCGGTTTAAAAGTCTAATTTTAAATTTTCTTTGGTCAAAAATTTATGCTCTAAATTATTTATTTGTTTTATGGATTGGCATAGTTGGTTCACTTGTACCTGGGTTAGTCCTTTGCATTCAATTTTGCACCCTAATAATTTTGGCTAACAAGTCTGGGAAAGGAGCTCCTAGCAATATCAAGAAGATGCATATTTGTTTAGTTGGCAAGTGAAATTTATGAGTGATACCCCCTACTATGATGGATCTACTATTATGTTTGATATGGTGGCATGAATCTAAGCAAAAATAATGGAAATTACCACAAAAAAAAAACATTTAAGGTTTAAATTGAAATAATTAAAAAAATTTGAGTTTGATTTATTACTAATGTCAAATTGGTTTTTCTTTGTAATAATAATAATAATAAGAGTACTCGGTTTAAAAGTTTAATTTTAAATTTTCTTTGATAAAAAATTCACACTGTAAATTACTTTGGTCATAAGGACAAATTATACAAAATGACCAAACTACTCACATGTATATAAATTTTAGGGTCCAGCCTGTCTCATATTTAGATCAAGACTGGACCCATCCAGTCTAACCTATGTCTCATTTCTAGGCCTTATTTCGATAATCCAAATCATTTAATGTGTTGAACTTGTAGAGTAATATATTCCAAATAGCAATCATGTTGATCGGATGTCGATAGATATTTGATCGGATCAAATTTGTATTAAAAAAAATGAACGGTGAAAAAATAAACGGTTGATAGAATTCTTCTCCGATCAAATAGCTATTGATAACCAATCAATGTAATTTTTTACAAGGATGTAGTACTCAACGAGTTCTACACATTGAACTGTTCGGATTATCGAAAAGGAGGCAAAAAATGGGCCTATGAACTGAATTGGACGATTTCTATCTTGATCTCAATATGAAACAAGCTGGACCCAAATTTTATTTTCCACGGTAAACATCATCAAAAAATTCTTCCCCACACACTCTCTCTCTCTCTCTCTTCTCTTTTCCTCGCAGTCGCTCATCGTTCTACGCCGTCACGGCCGTTGCTCGCACTGTCGCGGTTGTCGCTTGCTGCGGCAGGTCCGCCGCATATCCCGCCATCGTCACAGGCGAAGTAGTATGGGGTCTGGTGAGACGACTCCCTCTCTCTCTCCCTATCTTCTCTCTCTTCATTCCAGTTCTAAATCTAAGGCGTTTGTCTTCTCCATTTCTCAGATCAATCCAGTTGTTGTATAGAGACAACAAATCTAAGAAGTATCTACTCGTTGGGACCATTCTCGCTTTGTTGTTTAGTTTCTCTCCGACGAGAACGTACTCTATGTCTCTCTCTGTTTGTGTGTTCTATTTTCAGATCTGAATCAGATGGTGAAGAGCTTGTATATTTTTCTGTGTTTGGTTGCTAAGAAATATAAAAAGAAATTAATTCGTTTTAGAAATTTCAGTTAATGTTAATCAAGATAATGTGTGTTTTGGTTATTCTTGCATGTAGGGTTTGGATTTCTTGTGATTTGAAAATCTCTACTTTTGCCTTTTTCTTTTTTCTTTTGGTTTCTCTACTATTGTTGTTTAGTTCTTAATTTAAATGATACATTTGTGGTTCTGGAAACAAAATATTTTTTCTTGTTTCTTGAGTGTTAATGATCCTATTTGAAATGCACGATGTTAAGTTTTTACTTATCATTAAGCATCAGATCGGTTCTGCGAGGTTTTGAGTGATAATGATGATCTGATTAAACAGATAAAATATTTAGACAGATAGTAAAAAATTGAAATGTGTTTTTCAATTGATTTCCAATAGATACAACAAAAGATCTATTTCAACCAAAAAAAAAAAAAAGAAAAAAAATTTATATAGATAAAAAATTAGACAGAAAAAATTTTGAAAAGATAAGAAAAAAAATTGATGTGAATATGTGTTAGCTGTTTTGTAATGTTCTAATATGGTTCAAATGATCTGGGTTTGGATTTAAGTTTTGGCAGCTGAACTATATACTTATTGATATATATTTCAGGCAGTGAAGAACAAGATTCAAGATTCAAAAAATTGTCATCCGATGCCGGAACTGAAGAAGATATATGCCGATGTTTTATTTTTAATTTTTTTTTTAAATTGTTTTTGTTGTTGATTAGATAGTGGATGGAGTTGTTTTTTCCATTTTTTTTTTTTTTTTTTTTTTTGGGTTATCAAAGAACAGTTCTGTTCAAAATTAAAACATATAGTATGGCTTGTGTATTTCAATAACCAAGATTTGAACAGATAAAAAATCAAAAATAGAATTCAGGAAAAAAAATTGAACAGATAATAAAATTTGAACATATAGTTTAAGTAGATAAGCGAAAAAATCGAACATATAATAAAAATTGGACAAATATTTGAATAGATAGGAAAAAAATCGAACATATAGGGGGGAGAGAGAGAGAGAGATTTGAACATATAGGAAAATAATAAAATTTTGAATAGATAGAATAGATTTGTTTTAAATAGATTTGTTATAGTTGATTTTCAACAAATAAGATAAAAGATCTATTCAAAAAGTGAAAAATTGAACAGATAGACAAAAAATTTGAATAGATAACAGATAGGGTAAAATTTTTGAACATATAGGAAAAAAATTGAACAGATGAGAAAAAAGTTTGAATAGATAGTCAGCAAAAAATCAAACAAATGAAAAAATTCAAGGGATAAAATTGGAAACAAAATATCTTTCAGGACTTTTATCAAACTATTTCACAAAACGTGAACTTCTCAGCAACAAAAAATATCCATTGGATTTATCATCAATTTTCTCTAATAATAATAATAATTATATTAATTCAAAGCATCAAAATTCTCATTCTTTAAACGGTTTTTGGTAGCATAAAAAAGAAAGAATGATATGCATAATGTCTCTATTTGGTGGGATTCTTTGTTGAATCATGTCACGAGATTTAAATGTTTCAAAATCTTTACATGATTCCTTTGTTAGAAATATATAGGCATGAGAAGCAACAATTTATGAACAAAAATTCACGGCCTTTTAAATATATGGCAAACACCTTAGGTCATACTTGTGGAATGCCTTTGGGGTTACTAAGCGCACCAACCTTTTGGGAAAATTAGGAAACCCGTGACTCGTGCCAATGGCCACTGTCCATCATAACCAAAGTGTTTCGGCTCGAGAACTCAGGTATGAGGGGAAATGTCATTAATTGAGCACCTCTGCTCACCCGATCAAAAAATCAGCTTCTAGTAAATTACAATGCGATTTTTATAGTCACTATATATTCATATTCCGATTATTATTAATACTAACCTTACTAACTGAGACAATCAAATATAGATTATGTCATTGATCTGGGTTATGCTTTGATTTCATGCATTTTCGAAAAGCCTTTTTATACAAACTCAAAAGCATGAGAACCAATTGCATTTCAAAATAAGTAACACAACCTCCATCCTCTGACATTCAAATAGATATCTCAATTAAACATTTAGCCTCATGGTACAACGCTGGACATAGTAAAATAAAATACACAAGCGGGGTGCTAAAGTTATAAATGCTTGCCTAGTATTCCTCCATGGCAAGTCGAAAGAATATGTTATATACACATGCATGATCTTATATACAACTAACTAATGCAAAACACCCACAATATGCAACTAAGGATTCAATTACTACCACATGACATGTGTATAGTGTATATAACTACCTTTGAATTAATAAAATCGACAAATGCAAATGAACTGAATCCATATGTATGAAAAATGGATGCACAACAAGGGTATGATAAATAAAACGTGATGCTATACAACATACACAGAAAGCATGTAAATAAAAAAGATAGAAAGACGTAGGGTTGGAAGTTAAACAACAATTCAATGAATGAGAGAAGAAGGGCGAGGGGAAGAAATTATTATAACAATTGAATGAAGGAATAATAATAATAATAAAAGAAAGTGGGATTGGAGGAGTTATTACAATAATGAATGGATTCAGCCAAATTAATGTTGAATATAACAAATCATGTTAAATAAATATAATAACTCAGCCAGCAACTCTAGAATTACTCACGAGACCACCCCCTTCAGAAGTTGTTTGATCTGTTCTTCGAGAAGTTAGCCAGCTATGCAAAACAATGTCCAGCTGAATAGAAAATGAATAGGCCGAACTCTTTTTTCGGGCATAATTTGGGATAGTGTAGACTTTCCATAATAGAAGCCAAGGACACTTTCTAAAGGGTGTTCATCTTTTATACTTCTACCACCAAGAGAAACCACCTAAAGGGGAGGTAGATGTGCTGCAACCCTCAACAATGACATAAATAGATATATACAACAAATTTGCTTTAAATTAATAAGTTTAAATAGATTAAAACAAGAACAATCTCAAACTCGAGAAAGGGATAGGAACTACATCATCTCTTTGTGAATAAGGGTAAGTTAATATCCAAATTCATGCTATTAATTTGATGAAGTAGATTAATGCAAATCATTTCTTGGTGAAAGTTTTGCTTTTAAAACAAGAGATTCATCAAAGCCATTGAAAACTCCTTTTCTATTCATAGAACAAGGATGTTTCCACCTCTTTCTATGTTCATAAATGATTAAAATGGAAGATTTCAATACCCTTTGACCCAAAATATGTTGTTTTGCTTCCCAAAACCAATCAACAAGAAGAGAAAACACAACTTTTTAAACATCAAATCCCAAGGAACGCTTAAGTAATCTTATGAGACAACTCTTTTACTCATTAGAATTGAGCATAGGTTAAAATATTCTTAAATCATAGTATAGGTGAAGAATAAGTGTGAATTAAACTTGTGAATTGATGGCTAATTGCTACTCCTAAACACATCCACAAGGATCCAAATACATAATAACAAAGAGAGATTATAACTAAAGAAAACAAGAAAATAAAGGAAAAACCATCAACTCAATGGATGGGTGTCTAAATTTTACTTCATATCCATAAGGACTTACAACAGTTACATGATGAAGAATAAAGTTAGAACTGAAGAAAGAGAAGGAGAAAAGTAATTAAAGGTGCAAAAAATTCACCTCTTAAAGAGGGTGAGTCCCTTTGTTTTACAAATTTTATTTTGGTTCCCCCAAATCCTTTTAGATATGTTGTATATTGTCCAAGTACTTCAGCCAAGAGCTTAGGATCAAGCCTCAATGAAGTTTTAGTATTGGAAAGTGAAGGTGGTAGGTAAGGAATGAATGAGGGAGAGAGAAAGGACAAAAAGCTTGTATAAGCTTTGGGCAACATTTTTCAATCCTTAGAAAGAGGTTGCCGAGCTCTATTTATAAAACCCAAGGTGTAAATATCTCAGTGTGTTGAACAAGTTAAAATTCCCAAAAATGCTTTGTATCCTGAACATTCAGCCGGCCATTCCACTTGGTGATCGGTCGAGTGTATTTTTGACTGGCCATAGCATGTTGTCCAACCAGTTAGAATGTACATCGTTAGATCAGCAAAGTAAGGTTAGCTTGAATTGAGATGAGAAACAGGTATTTCAGAGGATTTTATCCTTTCCATTCATTTCTAATGTATCCCTTACTCTGTTTGTTTTAAAGAATACAACACTTTGATCTTGAAAATATGAGCCTCAAGACATTTTGGCAATGTTTGGAACAACATAACTAAACTTATTTTGAAAAAGATTTTTTCACTAGTCGAAAAGTACTTTGGCCAAAAGAGGTGCTTGTTTGGTCTAAAAGCTCAAACCTTAGACTTCTGGCTGAGAGATTCATAAGACTAGCACATCTCGTTTTCACCACTGGGCACCTAAGAGAGAGCGCCCAAGTCTTAAGATTAGTAAAAAATTGGGTGTTTACAATACCAAAATTTTCTTATTAAATGATTTAAATTTAAAATTTTAAAATATGATTCATTTCAATGACATAATAGGGTTTACATCAATACTAAGAAGAATAATTTTTATTTTATATATTTTTTTAACATTATTCTAAATTAAGGGAGTGATGGAAAATTACATAATAAATAAATAATGGGTTCACGTCACATTATCTACCAAATAACATATTGTCACTCATAATATCTCTCAGGCCCCGTTTGTTTGGGGTTATAGGGAGGGGATTGGGTTTGGTAGTGAGGAGGGGATTGAAAATGGGGTGTTTGTTTTGAGAGATAGAAAGAGGATTAGTAATCCCTTGGTATTAGTAAGGAGGAGGAAGGGGGATTGGTAAGGAGGAGGTAGAGATGGTATTAGAAAAATAGTGAGGGGATTAGAAATTTTTTTATTTTTTTTATTTTTTATATATTGGGAATTTTTTTTTAAACATAATCTTTAATTTTTTATATTTTTTATTTGTTTTATTATTTTATATAAAAATAATTTAACAATTCCTCACTATTAATCTCCTCACTATCAATCCCCTCACTATTAATCCCCCCACTATCAATCCCCTTACTAACAATCCCTTCACTATTAATCCCCTCACTATGAATCCCCTCTATTCTATTTCTGAAAACAAACGGGGCGTCAAGCTTCTATCCAATGCTCCGATTGCCCATCATTTTTCCATTGATGCCTTATCCCATATAATTAGCTTTGCTAACAATTCTGCATCTCCACTCTGTTTAGGTACATTACATACACTTGATTCATTTAAATCAATTGTATTTTAAATCTAG